TTGACAATATAGATTAGGAGGATAATGAGACAGAATATTTACATGATTATATAACTTTGGACAATTTGGAGGATTACGAAATATATTTACAAAATAATGATAATAATTTGACGAATTCAGATAATAATACAGAGAAGAATACCTAAAAATACAAACTATTTGAGAGCCAATCACAATTTTTTGAAGGATTTAATAGAAAATATGGTCTGTATTTTCCAAATTTCACATCTACTATACTCTTTTTATAGATTACAGAGCATATGATTTCCATAGCAGCCTATGAGGATCTTGTCAAAATTCTTAAACATTCAGATTTTTGGCCTGAACATGTTATTGCAAATATAAGACGTTTTTGCAAATAGAAAAATAAACTTCTATTGCTCAAGGTTTGGAGTTATACAGTTTCAATTTCTAGACAGTATACCTATCAAATTCAGCTTCAACCAAACATGCATATTTAATAATGCCAGTAGATTATATTGAATATATTCTTAATAATCTAACAATTGTGCCTAATTTATACTTTGGTCCTGGTATTGTATATAATGAAAAACGTGAGTTCTGGCATTGTACACTCTGGCAGAACTCGTCTTTATTTGGAGAAACTAAACTTTGTATATATAATGATTAGCAGTTTTTTTTTATTTTAGTAATAATAAAACTTAGCACTCTGGTTTACCATACTAATTAGTCTTTTTTTTATTAGTTACTTATCAAGCAGACAATTTTTTATGTTATCACCAAGACAAAGCAATTAAGTTTACACGTATTTGTAGTGTTGTTGAAGTTAATAAGAGGCAATTACTTAGAGCTGATCTGCTTGTTCCATATAGTGGGCTTCTTGGATACTTGTGTAGTATGAATAGAAAAGCACATGAAATGAATATAGAAGAACTTTGGCTTGTTGAAGAACAAGAGTGTTTGATTATACCTGAAAATATTACTCAAATTAATGTTTGGTTAAAGGATCTTGATAGGCCAGTAGAATATGAATATTTTGTAACTGAAATATTATATAGTTTTAATAGTTGGTAGTATATTCGTGACCTTACTAAAAGGCACAGAGCTCCTTATGAATATATACCTATTCCACTACTACCACCACGACCAATGACTATTAAAAAGGTTTTTCTTGATATCTACTTTGATGATTTTGGAACATTTCATAATTTATATCATTCATTAGGAGGGTTTATTTAGTTATTAGAAATATGCCGCTTGATTTACAAAAGCTACTCAAAAATCATTTTCTACTTGGCTTTGTTCTATTTGGGGCTTCATTTAAAGATTTTATTAAACCAATTCTAGATAATATTCGCCAATTACAATCTAGAAAAATTATAAATACTTTGGAAGGAGAAATATGAATTATTAGTGGACTTGGGCTGTATTATAGCCGATTTGCCCTAAGGTAATGACCTTGCTAGTATGTTTAGACATAATGCAAATTATGGTTGCAGAACTTGTTCTGTATCTAGTAGCCAATTAACAAACTCCAACTTTGACTTTGTTGCGAATGCATGCTTTTACTATTTAACCAATATACAATATAATGAAATTGCACATCAACAAACAAACTCTGCTTGTCAACAACTATCTAGTCAATATAGACTTAGTGCAAAGCCAGTTCTTGATACTCTTTATTGGGACAGGCATTTACAATCACCACAAAATGCTTATTATACACTTGCTGGTAAAGCTACATGTTTTCTATATATAACTCTTAGATATTTAAATACCAATAGAGAAGTAGCTTGGCTTAAGTATTGAAAAAGTATCAAAAAACCAGCAAGATAGTTACAGATGCCAAATCCACTAACCTATCATCATAGTTTTACATTTTCAGATACTTTACGCCTGGCAATGTTAATGCTATTTATTTTACGTTACTTTTTATCACTTTCACATTTAAATGCTAAAATAATTGAATATTTAAAAATATATATAAGTTTACTTGTAATGATCATGCTATTATTAAACTAATAAAACTTTAGTAGTTGAAGCAAAACTACTTAAGTTGGCTTTCTCAACAACAATGACAAATAACACTTATAAGGAGCTTCACAGTTTGTTTGAAAAAGAACGAATTGGTTTTTTGAAGATTTTTTCAGACATATTTGAAAACTTACCTAATGTTCATATAAATGTCTATTTGCCACAACATGCTCGTACATTTGCAACTCTTGTGAACACATCTGTTGAAGTCAAAGAAATAGTACACAGAATATACAAAAATATGGTACCACATACTAATTACAAAAATATTGAACTAGATCTTCTTCGGCGATATAATACCTCATTTGCATTAACTCACTTATTTGATGGTAGCAAAGATTACCGTTTTCTAACAACTATAAATAAATTATCAAATATTTCTCTAGACATTTCATTATATTCAAGTCTTTGCAAACAATATACTACAGAGCAAAACTTAAAATTAATGACAATGATGATATTGAAGAAATTGAAATTATCTCAAATTTGATACCAAAAAATTTTATATAGTATTACAAAATAAATAACCAAAAACAAGAGCAAACATTGAAGGATAGTTGACAAAGCTAAGCAGTCAGCATCTTCTTTTTCATGATTTACATATATCATATTCAGAATATTTTAGTTTACAAAATGCTTTTCTTAATAATAAATTAGAATTTTTTGATTATATTTCATATACTATCATTGAAAATGATAGAAAATTAACTCGACTTAAATTTCATGTTGGTGAAATAATTGAAATTAAAGAAGAAAATGAAGGCTTTACATATGCAAAAATACAAGTAATTTTATAACATCAAGCAAATAATAATGAATCTGCAATTTTCTTTGTCTTAAAATGGCTTCAAGCAACCAATACAAAAGACTTGATTTTAGACTGCCTATATTACAAACAAATAATGAATAATCAACAATTTTTTCAAATTTATCCAATCTCATGTATTCACCGTATTCAAAAAATTTATTTTTTATCTGCATGCATACAAAATCATGATCAAGAGCATACTACCAATAATGATCAAAAATATATTAAAAATAAGTTTTTTTTATGAGACTGTATAAAAACCGTAGTGCTTGCTTATTTCTATAAGGTATATACATATATTTAATTTAGTAAAAATAAATTTTTTGTAATTTGTTATTAGATTTAATTTATATTACAACATTGTTAGATGAAGTAATATTATATCAATATATAGAAGAAATAGAGATTTATCGCAGATATATAAAGAATAAATAGGTTATTTATTTAAATAAGAATAAAAGTTTCTTATTT